TTCGATCGGTTTTCGATTCGATTTAAATAAAATTTATTTAGTAAAATTGGACCCCAGTACTATAAAGCAGTGTTATAGCGATCTCGATTATTGGGTATGAATAATAGTTTGACTATCGATATTACTAACGACGTACAGAGACACGAGACATTCTAAATAGTATTAATATTATTGACAATGAAAAATAGCGATGTTATAGAAATTGTCGATACCATCAGTTGACTATTGATATAATCGAATACGACTATCGATAAAAGGTATCGATCTATAGCAAAACAATTTTTTATTTTTGACTATCGATAGTCATTATCCTCATCATCATCAGCTACTGATAATTATTATTATCAGCTTATTAATGATTCTACATTATTAGCTTTTTATTTAATATCTCACATAATTATAGTCTGCAAAACTACACCAAATTAATTTTGATATATATGATTTACGGCCATTTCCGATTTACATATGTGTATCAATTTGAATCCGTCTGTCAGTAGTTTCACAGAAAATCGACGGTGACAGACAAACAGACAGTTGACTAATATATTTTTTTGGTGTAGAACCCTAAAAAAATGTATATTATTATATACATCTGAAGTTTCCATGGACACTATTTAACCAAATTAAAACTTTTAGTAGGCTGTTCTCGCGACCTTGTCCGCGTAAATTATAGGCTATTAACTTTCCGCCAGCGGCTTCGCCCGCGTGGTAAGGTATTATACATAAAACTCACCTTTTGAATCACCCTATTAAAACCGCATCAAAATCCGTCGCATAGTTTTAAAGATCTAAGCATACATAGAGACAGACGACGGAAAGCTATTTTGCTTTATATTATGTATTGATGTCACCCGCGTATAAATACAATTTCCTGTAGGTGAACTTTTTTAAATCGGTCTTTTATTTCCGGAGCCTATATAACGCAACTAAACAATCACTCCATCTTTCTTTCTTAGTATAGATATAGTAGATACGAGATGGGATTCGAACCCAGAGGTTACCTAAGCATTTGAGTTATTAAACACTTGTTACTTTCACTACTAGTGAGCGTATTTCGATCAATGTCCAAACAATCTACCTGGATTTGGCTTAATTGGGTTGACATTAAAAAAGTTGGACATTGATTGAGATCACAGTGGCAGATATTTTTAATGGACGGTGATAATGTCCTTTGCGTTTGCTTATTCTGGCCATTTCAGATCCACGTAGCTTTTGACGTCACAAAGTTAATTCAAAATATCTACCTTTATTGATATTTTGATTTACGGAGTGATGCCATTGTAATATGTTTAGCGTCAACAGTAGAAGAAAATAATCAAACATGGAATATAATATCTTAAATGAAATTTAGGAATTCCCTCTTAAGTTAATCCTTATAGGGGAAAATTACTTAATTGTCTATTAGTCCTGCATGTATGAATAATTAAATTGCTTTAAACAATAATTTATATAGTATTTTCAATATTCTATTTTATATCTAAATACCATACTATTCCATATTTCCTTTATAAATGTTTTAATTAAAAAAAAGATCGTACTGATATTAATTGCATTATTTTCAGTCATGTCCAAAATACTCGAAAAAGTAATATATAAGTCCTTATATTCATTTCTATAACTAATATCTTAGTACCTCAGTATGGTTAGTAGTAGTACAAAAGCGTAAATCTATTAACATGGCTATTCATAACTCTCTGCATAAAGTAACAAAAAATATTGACACACAAATTCCCATTACAGCACCATATACGGATATAACCAAAGCATTCGATGATGTAGACTTCCAGATTCTTCTGCGAAAATTGTTCAACTATGGAATCAGAGGTAATGCACATGATTTTATTAAATCTTATTTAATAAAATAGGCTGCAAATGACAATAAAAGAAAAAATTACAGAGAATTCAAAACCGATGTAGTTTATCATTCTTATTTAAGTACAGTAAAATATGGGGTTTCTCAAGGCAGTGTATTAGATCTTCTACTTTTTTTTCAGACATTGAAAACAAGCGTAAATGACACTATTTTAGTTTGAAGCAATAATCTCAAGGTTAATATAGATAAAACTATAATAATAATGAATTTTCAACAACGAAATGTGAATCAAATAAAATTAAATATAAATTAATTAGGGACCTCTAAAATATCATGTAAATGAAGCTAAAAGAGCGGAGTTATTAGGACTGTATATTGGCAATGACACATATACCATCTTTGTAAAAAACTAAGTCGTTTCTCTTTTGCTCTGCGCCAATTACTTCTAACCGCTTATTATGGGTATGTTTCTTCGACGATAGGGCATTATGTTTTGGGAGAATGCAACTGATAAAGAAAAAGCGTTTAAATCGTAAGAACGTTATGGGCAATGCACAATTTAAAATAAACAGATTCATGTAGGCCATTTTTCAAAGCAAATAAGTTATTGATTCTTCTGTATATATTTGAATATGCCGTATTTACGAGAGAAAACATAGAAATGTTTGAATTCTTCACAAGAGAACGCCACAAGGATAAGCTTCGTATGATTCAAAATATGAAAAAACTGTTAAGTGACAGCATATTTTGTAATGCATCCCCTATATATAATAAAATACCGATATCAATACGTAATAGGTAGGGGTTTCTCATCGACAAGTGTTATTATTCTCTCAAAGAATATATGACGGATACTAACGCATGAAATCAATTTTAATTATTTAATATTTATTAATTACAATTATCACTATAAATTACGATTATTTAAATTAAAAAGAATGGAGTCCTCATAAATTCACTGTCTATGTTTTATAATATCAAAAATGTATGGCATAAAATATTATATAAGTAAATAAAATATGTAATACTTTTAACTTAGGAGACAGGAACTACATTCTAGATAAGCAATATTATGCATGCGTTTAAGTATGCTAAACGATGAAATTACATAAGCTTAGTTAGATCTAGCTATTAAGGCTTTAATTGAGTCGTTTGAGACGTAACATTCGTTTAGATTGTTAACATTTGTATTTTAAAAATATTATATTCACAAAAGAAATATTTTAAAATAAAAATATAGCGACACACTTTGTCACCCAGTCGCCTTGTTGGTCGGGAAGTTAAATGTCAGCCGCTTTTGAAATAAAGTGACTGTGGCATAAATCGCTACTTTTGTTTGTTTGTAAATATTTAAAATAATTGGGCGTTATTTTGCGGAAGGTCTAATAACTTCTGAGGATGCTCCGTGAAGGGGCGATACACGTGGAGAGTGGGTCTACAAACGGCAACATATCTCGCAAAACCCACTCTACACATTTTTCGCCCCTCCACGGATAAATATACCGGCTAAGGAGTAATCCTTAAATAAATCATTACTGATTTATTAATAATGAGTTATAGAATAGCACAATCGCTCGATGACCGCTTATCCATGGAGTCCTCAGAAGATGCCAGAGATACAGAATAAGGAGACAGGTCTTGCGTATACTGATTGACGGTGTGGAAGTTGTTAGATATCATAGGGTGGTTGTTTGTTTTAAAACACCTCAGTCTCCTTTAATACGAATTGGTGCAATATTTATTTATCATTACCGTGACTTCACCCACGTAAACTATAGTCTATGTCGTCCGTGTATGATTTAGTTTTCCTAAGGTGAGAATATTTGTAATCACTCCAGCAGTTCCGCAGCCTATTCAATTCAAACCATCAAATCTTTCCCTTTTATAATATTATTATCGAAAGCCGTATGATAATCTTCTTTCGCAGTTCTTAAGTTTATCGCGGCCAAAAAGATATTTTTTTAAATACCTATTATAAATGTCTTATTAAAACATTTTGTATTAATGCGATAATAACTTCACCGAGTTATAAAACAGAATTAACATTAAATATTTAAATGTGTATGTAAATATCAATGAGATAAGGTACAAGTTGGCGCATAAAGGTTATTTGAGCATAAGAAATAAAATAATTATTTTTTATAGTTTCGCGCACGTTACTTAAATAATAAAATAGCGTTTAAGTGCACCATCTTATCATCATTGAATAAAATAAGGTGAAAAAACAAGTATGCAAGTTAGGTGTTTAGTTGGTCGTTATTATATTTGATATAATAATGTCGTCGATATGATTGATATAATAATGTTGGTTAATTTTGCATTCACAATGCTATACTGAACAATTTCATGAAGAGAAAGTCGGTGTATAATTAATTATGGCAATTATAAATGACAACGTCGCCAAAAAGTGTTTTAAAGAAAAAACGTATGGAACTTTTTGGATCCACCTTCGTACTTGAATCATAAAGAAATTCACACGAAAAAGTTTCTTATGAAAATAATTACACGGTTTGTTTTTCCTTAATACAAATCAAAACAAGTCGAAATAAGCTACGAATTATCACCTCTTTCGTATCTAGAACGCAAAGCAGACATCTCTTACAAAAGATATCAACGCCCTCGTTCAAGGTGCTAAAGCAAATAAAGAGACGGAATAGATTCGTCATCTTTGTGACACTACGCTGACATAGATCAGGTTGACACATTTCTCTATTATTTCATCACCATTTCACTTATGATCGCAATTAATATAAATAAATTGATGGTGATTTCTCATTATGGAGTTTGAAATTTCGAATTCTAAATTCATAGGTACATACTTTTTTTATTAAATTCATAAATATAATGAATAATAAATATTACTAGTAAATATATTTTGTTGTATGAAATAAATCTTATAAAATAACCAAGCATGAGATAAGTAGTAAGTCAGAATATTTATTTCTTCTTCTACTTTACTAAAATGGTAAATTGAACATTTCAATATACTTTTATCATTTAATTTATAATAATTATTTTAATAGTTATATTGTTGTTTTTCGCGCTCACTTGAACAAAATACAAGACGAAACAACGTAGCGGATCTATAAAAACAAAGGGTAAAGTTATTAAGAGAGCAACATCACTGTATCGTTGGTAAACATTTTCAAACAGTTGCCATGCAACTAGCTGCAAAGCTGAGGTTGCGAAACGGTGCGGCGAAGGTGAAGGCGCCAGTCGCTTGCACGAGAGAGCGGCGAGCGCACGAGCAACGCTTGCGCGACGACCCAACACGACGCCGACGACGCGCGACCACCGCCGACACGACACGACGCGACGCGCGCGCAATCCGCACGCGGACCATTCTAAATTAAAAAACAAAAAAGTGCTAAAAAAACCTTTTTCGTGATTGTGTTTCAGTTTTTGTTTTCTGTCGTTCTTTTCGAAGACTTATCAGTGCTGTGCTCGACTGTTAAGAGATATTACCAAGTGCCGGAGATTGTGAGAATTTTTCTCGTTATTTGACACACATATGACGTGAATAACGGTGCGATCCGCGGCTGATCGACTCGCTAAAAATCAAAGTGTCAGTGTATCTTGTGTACCGGAATTTTAACGGACTTGCCTAAGCAGAGGTAAGACCGGATGTTTACAGTTATGCTTATTGTATAACTTAAGCAGACAGGGAAAGCCATATTTAAATTTAATATGACTATCGGAAGCACATTGATAACGATATTGATATATTTATTGCAACAGAAAAATTACTATTTCCGTATCTAAGTAATCCAAGTTTTTATCGCAAAATGAATTGCAAGAGATTAGATACCAAATTATTTGGATAACTTTTATAGTTATCGCATGCTAAAAAATGTACTTCAAAACATGTCTCAAAATATTTCTCTTAATAAAACTACAGACTCATAATATAAATAAATACTTAAAGTTAAGCTTAAAGTAAAGCTAGTCAAATCGTTTTTAATATAGTACGGGTATTATTAGATTTAATTTAAATTGACATTATCTTTTACATTATTACTAAAACTATCGTTGAAGTTCAACTTTTAAATTTTAAATATCCCAACAAGTTCTTATAGTCATAACGTTAGAAGTAAAACATTCATAATTCATAGACACGCCTATGAATATTCAAAGTTTAGTTAACGCACATATGAAAACGTTAAGATTTTTAAGTCCCATCACAAAGAAAAGTGGTGGGGAAACCGCTTACGGACTGGTTTGCGTTCAGAATAAACAATAGTCAGGTGAAAAGGTCCCTGACTCATCTTGCGTACGGCGTCCTTTTGCTTCTGTTTAGAATAAATTTACTTTTGAAACGACTCTTGAACTTCTTTTCGTTACCCCAATCGAATATTGATACGAATTTCCTTAAGCTAATTGAGAATTCTGTAGTTGTAGCGATCTGTGTTTGTTGAAGAGAACGAGTGTGTTTGTATGGGTTTCTTTTTAATGAGAAGAAATCTCAATTATAATTAAATATAAATATATTTTCTTAAGCAAAAAACGAGTTAATCGAAGTATCGATGAAATTAATGTAGCCGAGATAATAATTTATCGATTAAAAAATAAGCGAGTGATCAGAAATTGTGCAATTAAAATTACACTTAAATTAAGAAATATCTATAACTGAGAAATAATGTAGGTATCAAAAAAAAAATCTATACAAATAATTTTATAAAGAGAAAAGAATTTATTGTTTGTTTGTTACTGAATCGATTTTGAAAATTCTTTCACTTACAGGAAGCTACATTATACGCGGGTGATGTAAGTTATAATTTACGCGAAAATAAAGTTTACCAAAAATTACTATTCCAATGGGGTAAATGAAGAAATATAAGTGAAAAATTCACATGGTTTCCCGGTGATTTCGATGATTATTTTCTATGTAAATTTTATGTTTTATAGTTAAAGAAGTATGCGGTGAAACCATTCATGTTTACATAATTGTGCAATAATTATTTACAGTGAAATTCTCTGTATACATAGCAAATGCGAAGCCAATTGAAAATAACGTTTCGAAAGTTGCATTAACGTTAACTGCTCGCGTCAAGACAATGGATTGCCTAGAAGAATCGAATTTGCAATAATGTGAGCTGTTTGCGAAGTTGCTTACTTGTTAAAATTATCTACTCGTTAAAAGTATGTCGCAAATAAATATCAAATAACCTAGGTATATGACGAAAGTCTACCCTTGCTTTTATGAAGAAAAGAGGAATTGATATTATTCAGTATTCATTAGTGTTACTTTCTTATAAAAAAGGTTATAATTCATCTAATACGGAGAATAAAAAATAGTAGGGTATTTTTATATAGATTTTATGGCGCGGGCAATTATACACTAGGCGGGCTCAATGCGGATTTGTGGGTGTTGAATGTAAACACAGTTGATACCAATAAATAACTTACCTGGAAAGCATTTATGATTGTTGAAATAATTCCTAGTGTAGTTATAATTTCAGTTTTATTACTTAAATATTTTATAGGTGGACTAACCTCAAAGTATTAAGATATGCACATATATTGTACAAGGAAAAACGCACTGTATTGTGTTAGTATTTTAAGTTATTTATCACATTTCGGTCAAAGTAGTTGTGCAAAACTGCGCAATCTTTGCGGTGACAGCTTGTGACGACATCAAGAAACAAGTTACGGGTAACAGCACTTATTATCACTGCAATCGTTTATCTTACCGCAGGAGTGAACGGGATAGGTGGTATTTATATAGAGCGAGATAGAACGAAGAAAGGCATGTTTTTGTCTACACAGCTAGGCATGTTGAGATGTATCAAGTACTTTCTTTTATTACCGGTCGCATATCTAATGCATATGATATGTGAAATGTTGGTCTAAACAAATGCTGGTTGGACAGACCTGATCAAACATACGACCTTTTTGCTCTTCCAGTTTTAACACTATTCTCATTCGATAAAAAAAGATGTGTGTATTAAAAAAATATCGCTATTAATAACACCGATAACCTCAAAATCTTGTGAACTTTTAAAATACTCCCCTGCCCTAAAGAATGTAACAAAATAAACTAAAACCTTGTTGACCCAGGTTCTGTTTGTCCTTTACCGCGTCCCTAGAATATCTCCATTCTAAATAGTGTTTCTTTCTTATCGTCATGTAACTTCGTTATCATGACAAAGGACATATTTTACAACAATGTAAACATGGAGGTCGTAAGCTCCTTAAACAGTTCAAAAAGTTTCTAAAAGCTATTCGACCTTCGTTCTCAATTTGAAATGATGTTCGGAACGAGGACATTTTAAATGTCACGTGCATATAAATCATTCTATGACACTGTCATATGATACACATCATAATGCATCAAATTAATTGTGTTTGACGCAAAGTAGCCAATGAAGTTAAGAAGCTCTTCTTCTTAACTTTATTGGATTCAAATTGAAATAATTAAGCGAATTTGTTTATATTATTAAAATAACTAGTCTTAGAAAACTATTTTAAATGTATCAGGTTTTCTAAAGTCATATGCAAAGATGGCATTGTCAATGCAAAATTAACTAAACATATAATTAATATTGTGCTAATACAACGATGATATCTGCTTTTCTGGCGAAAATATACACCACGATAGATTAATTCAAGTAATAAATGATTTCGACCTTTCAAAACGAAAGGTCAAGATCATTTTTTTTACTCTCCATAAAATGACCGAATCAAAATGGCACGACCAGATACAATCTTTAATATTAGTTACGACCAAGAGAACGGTTAGTATTGGGCCGTTTTTAAAACTATATTGTTGTTTAAAAGCTCTATTAAGTAGATTGATGAAATAGGTAGTTCACTTCTGTCAAAACATTCGCAAGGTTCTATTTGTGTTGTAAACCGACTACATTAGAATGTATTAATGAAAAAAACGAGTTATATTGTGCAAAAGCCTTTATGTTTACGATATATCTATAATTTATAGGGTAACTTTCCACTGGGGGACAAGTGTCCCGGTGACTTACCTCGTCCCCCAGAAGGGGGAATACCGTGTTTTAGTTTTACTGGGCTTCTGTTGGATCCATCGAACAGTTGTTGAATACTATAAGTTCTTTGTGGGCAGTTCAGTTACTTGCCAGTGCAAGTCGCAAAAGGATGCATAATGCATTTCCTCTACTATCTCAAATAGGGAAAGAACTTCAAAAGAAAAAAGGGACTTCTCTATACAAGATCACTTGCGCGTCTATCGATCTGAGCATTTGATTAAGCTAATTTTAATAAAATTACTCGACTGTTTGGGGAGAAATTTTATGAAAGACATGTATAATTAACATAAAAGGCCACTTTTAGGGAACTTGGATTTTAACATTATAGTTGTTCTGTATGAGAATGCGATTCGTACTTTTTTTAAAGGTACTGCATATTACAGCAAGTTAAATGTTTTTGTCGTCTGAAATATGTACGTAGACCATCAGATCTCTTCAAGGTTGAAGGTCTCTAGCCTTCTAAAGGGCGGTTTAATTAGTGCGAGGATATTTTTTATTGTTACTATTTCATTGAGAGTGTACGAATTTTGTAGGAACATTATAAAGTGGCCAAGGTTGTATAGCGAGTTCTTTTGTTTTTTTATTGTGACATTGTTGGCAAAACTGTACCTATATAAAAACAATCGTAAATCAGTTTTATAATAGGTACTTAAATGAAATGTCGTGCCGTATAAAAAATAATAAATCTTGATACTTTAAAATGTTTTTGTTAAAAAACAATTTATAATTTCATTACTGACACTGTGAAGAGTACCATAAAAAGATAGAATTTCTTAATTTTATTTACGATGTACATGATGTTTTATCTATAAAGAGATTTATCAACAGAAACTGAATAATAATAATAATAAATTTTTATTTCGGACATCCAAGATCCATAATGAATGATTATAAAAATATTTTTACTTCTGTAAGTTAATTGTTTTTTAAGTTGTTTACTTTTTTCATTAATTTTATCGTTTGAATATTAGCCGTTTTTTAATTAAAATCAATCCTTTTTCCTATTATTCTACTTCAAATTTAGATGTGACACATTCTATTCAGGTAAAAAGGTTAATATATATATATTGACATACAAAAGGGGATATCCATTTTAATAATAGCTCTCAGTTATATTTTCAGTAAATTTTATTTATAGAAGCAATGTGACCTTTTAGAAATAGACATTTTATTTTCATATAATACATTAATTACCAAAATTTATAATGATACGACTTTTATGAATTTACAAGATTAATTGTTTTAAAGATAAAAACTTGATATTGTTTTGTGAAAGTTTATTTTTGTTATTCTTTTGCTGGATATATTTTGAATAATATATATTGTGATCGGGTCTTTATTTAAATCGGTATCGAGAAATACACTTTTACACTCGAGCAGGGAATAAAACTAAATTTCCCTTTTATCTCTTAATAAAACCAGAGCGTGGGTGGGTTACGAGACTTATATGAAGGGTGTCTATTCTTTATGTATGAAATTCGTACGTAACATCGAATAAACTGTTGTACTAGATCTATATCGTGCTATTTTGAATACGATTTCGGAAAAACTTATAGTTTCACCGAATTTCAGGTCATTTTAAAGTTTTTACTTAATTTTCTATGCGGGTTTGAATA